TGTGTCCGGCACTATCCAACATCACTCAACTCGTGAGGTTCCAGTATGTAGCTACCCCCACTCAAAGCGTCCATGTGTCCGGCACCATTCAACATCACTCAACTCGTGAGGTTTCAGTATGTAGCTATCCCCACTCAGAGCGTCTATGTGTCTGGCAAACTCAAAAACCAATCCATCTGTGAGGTTTCAATATGCAGCTATCCCCACTCGGTCAGGGGGGGGGGGGGGCATTCGCAAGGTATTGATTGGGTGGTGTGGAAGAAGGGGACAATGAATTGGACAGTTTTTCGGGGTCAAAAGAGGGAAGACCCAGCAAGGACAAGCAGCCAAGGGCTGTACATAATTCCAACAAAGCAATGAAAGAAATGCTTCTGAACGAAGCCAGGACAAGCAGCAACAGTTGAGCACGCCACCTACGCTGCAGGTGGTCATCCTCATCGATCCAGGAGGAATGAAACCAGCAAAAAAATAAAATAAAAACGATGGGTTTCCCACTTCACTACACTAGTAGCCGAGACTAACTGCACTGGACACTAAATCATATCACCGCCCCAGCGCCACAAGCAAAGCCCTTGTTTCTGTACAGGAAAGGGTCAATTACCGGTTGCAGCAGTAAAGCCAACTCTGCTGCAAGGCAGTTCTAATTTTTACCACCAGAGTGCCCTTGCGGCTTCAGCAGCAACAAGGTCAACTATGCTGCACGAAAAACTCGGCCAGTTGCATGTCGTGCTTACCCCAAGCCGGAGTTTGCCAAGGCGCTGCCGTAGACGTATCCGATGCCGGCCCCCACTGGCTGTGCGGTGTAGAAGAGGGCAAGCCACAGTCCCCGCTCCCCCGGGGGAGCCGTGTCTGTGATAAGGGGCGGAACCACGGTCACGAAGCTCGCCTCGCCCACGCCCGACAGCAGCCTGCCATGTGGTATGGTAAGGTGTAGCATGGTAAGAATTGGGAAGGTGGAGGTGCAGCAGCGTGAGGTAAGATAGAAAGAGTTGGGAAGATGGAGGGGGGAAAAGCGTAAGGTAGGGCCTAGAAAATAAGAGTTGGCAAGATAGAGGGGCAGCAGCGAAACGTAAGGCGTAGTAAGCGTTGGGAAGATGGAGGGGCCGTAGCGGGAGATCGGTCAGGGGAAGATCGAGTGGAGGACGTGTGGCTCATGGCAGCAAGCTATCCTGTGAGCGTACTTTTTTCCCCCCTCGATCGAAGAAGGATGACTGACTTCGGTGTGATAGTCTTAGACTTTCGGAGTGTCCTCACGCATCGGATTGGCGGGATTTCAATGCAAGCAAGCCCATCCGACTGTTTCTCGGCTTTCCTGAATAGCGCCGAAAGCTTGCTGCAAGTGAAAAATTTTCAACAAAAAGCAAAAATGCTTTTATAGCCCAACCCGAGTAATAGACGAAATCTAGACGGTCACAGGCAAAATCTAACAAAAATTGCTCACTCAGCAGTGTTTTCACTACAAACGCATAAGTGCGCTCATCCGCACAAGGCGCAAGGAAACGCACAGTGTGTTGCGTTGTGTGTCGTCCTATGCATATTTGTTACGGCGACAGTTCCCCCATTTTCGTGGTGAGACGTACTACACCTTTCTGTATGTTTTTTCGTACAACTACAACCATCCAGGGTGACACACGAGGGGGTAAACACCGGGGCGTTTGTCTTCATAGAGACAGAAAAAAAAAAAAATGTTCACAAGCCTGTGCACTGCCTACCTAGCCATAAGGAGGACCGCGTAGCTCCCCAAGGGCTTCGCCACGCCGGCGAACACCGCTGCCCCGCACCACATCCCTAGGCCGGCGGCCATGAGATTGAACGGGCTCCGTCGCCTCGCGAGACTCGTGAAGACGAAGCACGCCGCGCTGAAACCTGCACCACAATCGTCGTCAAGTTGCCCGTCGAGGAAAGGGTTGATTAGGGTTAGGGTTAGGGTTAGGGTTGCTTTGCTGCGGAATGCGAGGTGCGCTAATTGGTTTAACCTGTCGTGTGACGCGTGGAATCGAAGACTTCAACAACAAAAAACATTGGTGTGAAACACAACGGGCGATAAAAAGGCAGCGTAGAAGAGCGTGGCAGGCGTGTTTCTTTCTTTCTTAGCGCCAGAGCCCACGGGGGTAACAAAGGACATGGGCGCCAGGTGGGCCATGGCCATGTACACCAACATCGCGTCTAACGTCAGCGCTGTGTAGGGTTCTTTTGCATCGCTCACTCCGGCAGAAGGACGACGAAGACGACGACAAGGGGGTCAAATTGACATAGTGTGTGTGTGTGTGTTTTCGTCCTGTTTATTATGGCGACAGTCCCCCCATTTTTCGTGGTGAGACGTGTACTCCACTTTTCAGCGTATGTAGAGTACTACACTTTTCAGTGTTTTTTTTCGTACAACTACAACCATCCAGGGTCGCACAGGAGGGGGTAAACATCAGGGCTTTTTTCTTCTTTTTCATTTCTTTTCATGCCCCAACTTCCTCCTGCGGTGCGTCAATTTTTATTTTTATCGCGAGGAGGGTCCAGCCGTCCCTTTCCCTCGTCAACGGTGCCAACGTCGAAGTTTGGTACTCACGAGAGCTTGTCAGCTATATTTCGCTTTCACCCGCACATTTCGTCAATTTTTCACCCCATGGGGATTCGAACGCACGACCTCTGCGACTAGCGGATTACGAGGATACCACTAGACCACCGGGGCGACCGATATCGTAGCACTACTGTTCAGTCCTTCTTCTTGGGTGTGGTACTAGCGACGAAAGCGGCCGTGATTGGTTTCCACAGAAAGACGTCTAAACGGAGCTACAGCGGCACCTATGTACCACCTATTAGGTGTTCCAAAAACGTATGTTGGATACTTTCTATGCCATGCTATGCCCTGGCGTGCCGCACCTAATATGTAGCCGCTCTGCAGGATCCCGAGAAACACGTCCGGCCGATCGGTGTGCAAGGTTTTCTGGATGAACCCGTTGAACTCCTCGCTGCCTCCGGGAATGACCTGTCAAAGTCAAAGTCATGACGTAGACACACAGACACACAATTCGTTCGACACATGAAAGAGGAAGAAAAAAACTCCTCATCCTGCAAAACCAACGTGACACGGCACATGTGGCGCGGTTAATGGTGTGTACATGCACGGGGCGTAGATACCCGCAATCGGAACCTTGACGCCGAAAATCTGTTACTTGCAGTACCTCAGGCTGCGTGCAATGGTACATATTTATGTGGTGGGGGTTAGACGACGGAACTGTGATCGTGTAACGCCCTGAAGATCTAAGCTGTAGTTACGCGTACATAGCCCTAAACATATCACGCACGGGGTTGGCCAAAATTGAACCGTTCATCGTGCAGCTCAATCTCAATAACATATTTGTAGCGGATCGATTTTGGCGCGGGCCCTCACCCTACAATGTACTTACCTTCTGTTGATGAAGATAAGCCGAAAGGGTAGATAAAAAATCTAATACTACACATCCGACAAAGCGCGGCGGAAGTTCAGAGCGCATCCTGCTTTATCTCTGGAACAACGCCAGCCGAGCGATGAGACATGTGTATCCGTAATATGTTGCGGCCCCATGACAAGCGTACAGTATTGTGTGGAAGAACACATCGAGCTATACCTCCTTCTTAACTGTACTAGCAGACTTTTGAAGCGCATGTTGTACTGTAATAGCATATGAGAGGTTTCGATCCACATAACGAGAGCTCTCGACACAAGAAGCGGCCGTTACTGCTTCGACTAGTACTGGTAAGAGCGTGGAGGTCAGGCTATAAGGCAGCAACCAAAGCCACTCTGCAGTCGCTCACCCCGCGATCGAGGTAGTTCACCAGGTTCACCACTGCCAAGAGCGTGAACAGCCTTCTCCCTCGTAGATAATCCCTCGCCTCCTGGACCCATCCTGCGCACTGCTCCAACTTCCTGCCTACAGCGGTTGTAGCTCTCTCCGTATCGCTGCTGCTAACGGCGGTGGAGGAAGGAGTCATCCCGCACTTGAAGTCAGAGGACTCCTCGTGGCACTCGTTCTCCGGTACTCCTGGTGTAGTTCGTGAATCGAGGCCATCACCGCACCGCATGGAAAACGGGGTGGGATCAATTGCTGTGCTGCCGAGGAGGGCCAAGGCTAGTACTTTCCGAGCCTCTTGGGAAAGGATGCTTCGCCCACACCAGCCAACCGCCCAACGAATGAGTATCAGACGAGCCGGTGTTGCGCGGCGGAATTAAAATCTTGGCCGCCTAGCCTGTCGCCTGCTGTCCGCGATACCCGGCCCAGAGTCCGGAGGCGTTTCTTCAGGGAATCAATGCTAAAATCCAGCCATTAAGGAGGGATGGACACCGGATCTATCCCTAGCGGTGTATAGCCTCCGTGGGCAGCTTGAAGACAGCCTGCAGCGATGCGGTCTGCGGTGATGCACGTCGTGTCACGTGGCGAAGCCCCCGCACGATGTAACGGGGGTATTCAAGTATTTATCTGCGTGGCCGTTTGCCGTCCCCCCGCCCGCGCTGTCTGGTCTTGCTTCGCTAGCAGTAGAAATCTATCTACCCGTAGTGTCGCCTTGCAGTGTCTCGCTCGTGTCTGCTTGGCGCACCTCACAAAGGAGATTGAGGTGAGTCGTGGTGCTGATGCACGAAGCTTAAACAGTGGGCACACCGCAGTAAACCGTTGCGTGGACTGCGGTAGACGGCGGCTGCCGCAAGTTTTGAGAGATCCCAATTTTAGTTACAGCAGTGGGTGCATGTTGCTGTCGCGGGCTCCTGTAGCGTGTGGGACAGGCTCGGCTCTGAGGAGAAGTAGGGGGAACTTTGTCTCCTTGCATCGAATTTGCACGCCTCTTGTCGCATTTCTCTCCTGGCGCTACGCATTCGTGCCCGCTAGTGGTGCCCGCGGCCGGTGTCACCCCAAACGAGGGTTGTTGCGCCGCATTTCACTCATCTTCACCTTCTTGCCCTGCTGGCTCTGTAGCAGCGGTTGTGCGGCAGTGGTGCTATGGCCGTCAAGCGTGATGTATCGTAGACTTCCAGGGGCTAGTGAGGATGTAACCTGCACTTTCGCATCCGCGGTGGGATCAAATCCAAAACAAAGCTGGTCGATGCACGTTACTTGCCTAGAAGCCGTAAATTGTTTCACAGCAGTCAGGATCGAAAAGATCGCTCCGATTGGCTGGGTGAGACGGAGGGGATCGTGAGTGGCTGCAGTAATCGTGAGGCTCCACACTCCAGACTCCAGACCACGTGGCGATCCTACGGTTGTAGGTGGTTCCCTGCCACGCCCGGCAAGATACCATTGGCTGCTGTTACTTTCTAGATGCCCACCGCAGGACATTGCCCCTTGCCGACATATTCCGTGAAGGGTGCTGCATACATGCGACGAAGTACGTTCTTTTGCTGTGTGCCCTTAGCACCTGCTGTGTTGATGCAAACCACGTGCGTTGACGGTTTTTGGTGACCCCCCCCCAGCGGTGCGGAGGCAGGGGCCACCATCCCATCGCCATGGCTTTCCTTCTGGAGAGCCAGATGCCGCTGGTAGCGCTCGAGAGCTCGAGGCGGAAGCTTGTGCTGAGCGTCATCGAGGAGTACCACGGGCCCATCGTTTCGGTAAGTGGAGGGTCATGGGTTTCCAATATCAATACTTTATTGTGAGTGTTCCGACTCAAGGGCACTGCCAACACGTCCAGATTTTTGTTGTAGCTGTTGTAGTAGTTGTTGTTGTTATTGCTGTTGATTGTGTTTCGAGTGAACGGCATGGCCAACGCACCCATACTGCTGCTGTTGTTGAGGTAGTTTTGAAGCGATTAGTTGCTGTTTTCGAGCCTCTATCCAACATCACGTTTGCACAACACTTTCGCGACGACAGGCGTTTGGACGTCATGAGTCGTGCAAAAGTGCACAAACCAGCCTGTCCTCTGGCGTGGTCGTTATTTATCTTCGTCTGGTCGTTGGTTATCGCCGTCGAATGTACGAACTTGCTTGTGTTAGCATGCCGCAACTCCAACCGTTCGGTGCGAGCGATTCAAGCGATCTCTCCCCTGTTGTAGTCTATTATATATGTCCGTGCGCAATGTATGGTATTTTAGACCTATGACGGTGCTGCATCGCAAAGAGCAAGTCTTGGCTCTACGTCTGGCACCAGCACACGTCGGAGGGCTTGCACGAAAACTTGAGCTCAAGCCACGAACGAGGAACAGATTTCGCCCGCAGCATCAGCTCTGTGGATTTCCAGTGAAACTGTGTGAATTTGAATTACGTCCATTTCGTCGGAGGCGCTTTTGCCGTGCGATTGTTTACGTAGTCGTATGCATATATACCATTCCACTCTTCATGTCATGCCCATGGCGTACGTAGAATATCGCTCTAACGCTGCTTACTGCTTGCTGCTTCTGCTGCTGCTGCTGCTTCTGCAGACCGTAGCGGAGGTACTGATGCGAGCCGAACGCACGACATTGGCGGAGCTGACTCGACTGGTGCTGAGAGACCAGGGGATCATGGGGGTCTCCAGGGCAGGAAAGACTAGAACTAAAGTTACTGCCGCCAATGTGAGAAGCAGGCCGGCCGACCTTGCAGCTATTCCCTGCCTGTACCGTTTACTGTTTAGTTATACACAACCCCTCCCCCCCCCCTCCCTCGGCGACAGCTAAGAGACTGAAGCGGCTATGGCTGCTTGCCGTGGTAGCTGGTGGTGATGCCCAACTCGTCTGTAGTCAACCGACCGCGTTGCACGTGTGTATCTTGTTGAACGGGTTGATAGATGACACACACGTCACCGCACGCGCACGCACGCTTCTGTGCTCGAGTCTGAAGCCAACGTTCGGCTGTTCCTGTGGGCAGGTGAAGGAGTCGCTGCTGATCATGACGCAGCACAACATGGTGGCCGCCGCCATGCCGACTGAGAAGGAGATGAGGAAGGCCAGAGCCAGCAGCTCTGGCCGTTCCAGCAATATCCGCTTGCACTACACGGTGAGAATCAATCGAACAGACAAAAACAGACCAGTCGGTCGTGTCTGCGGCTGCAGCTGCTGCTGCTGCTGCCTCTCATCTGCTGCTGTTTCTGCTACATGTGCAGCTTCTCAACAAGGGGGAGTCGGCGTATCGATGTGTGTCATGTCCGTCGTATGGAGTACCTCGTATTGATGTGCGTCACGTCCGTCGTGCTTTGTGTGTTAGGGTACCTAGATGTGGTGCCTGCTGTTGCTGGTGGTGCACTACGTTGGGCATGCCAGTCCCCACCGCTTACATCGTAGGGTTAGCCCTAGGAAAGATCTCCAGTTCCCCACGCCCATCCCGTGCTGGATTGAGCGCTTGTATTCCACCTCCTGCGAGTGCTCTTGGTGATTCTTACCCTTTTCCATCCATTATGCAACGCTCTTGTCTTCGACGATGCCGAGGATGACTGCAAAGCGATACATAATACTGTCTTTCGACACATTTCAGCAGAAAGTTGGCGGGATTTTCGTTTCGACAGTTCACGGGATCGACAGAGTTCCAAATGGATAGCGTGTGTAATCGTATGTGCATGTTCCAAAGGCGTTAAGACGTCGCGTAGCTCGGGGTGTGTGGATAATGATGCATTTGAACAGACGACGATCACCGTCGTAGTGTCTGTCTCCCCCCCCTTCTCCTTGCTGCGCTAAGAGGCACCGGCGTTCAGTTGTTAGGGCCACCCGCATACCAATGGCCGAACGCCGTTGCTTTACTGCTGGTGGTGCTACGGCTGTATGAACGCTGTCACATCCGCCGCTGCCGTGCTTCCTCTTCTTCTGTCTGCGTCATACCAGCTACTCCCGTTGGAGGTGCTCGTGAGGACGAGGGGACCACAGTTTCACTCACACGCAGCGAAGACATTTTCGAAGGTCGCCGGTTTAGTGGTGGACTGTTTCTTGAGACACGGGAGGAGAACTCTGCCTGATGTAAGTGAGCCACGGCCGGAACACAGCGCCGGTTGATGTACATGCTATGCCTATTTCTGACGATCTCTGTTGCATGCGCCGCCGGTTCTGGTCATGTATTTGGGAGGTTGTGTCGGTAGCAAGGAGTTTGTTTGTTGTGGCGGATAGAGCATGCTTTTGTTTCGTCTCGTCTGGGTATCATACGTTGCATTCCATGCACCTTTTCTGTACATGGGCAAGGTGAGAGACGAAATACCGACAATTCGTTTGTTTCCTGCGTGATACCTGCAGGTGCATCAAACATGTTCCGAAGGTGTGTATCATGTAGATGAGTTCCCAGAATAAATGGGACGAAAGCACGCACACAACACCGACTGCTGTCAGGCGCCGAGGACAGTCAAGAAGTTGACCACGCTCATGACTCATGTATGGATGTAAATGTGTGTGCTACAGCACGTGACGCGGCCACGCCTATCCGTGCGTGTCGCCAAGAGATAATGGATGAGTCATCATCGTGTCTGTCTGTGTCGTGTGCTTGTTGCAACATGGCAATACCCAAACGATTTACACCCCGATGGTACGAACACTATCAGTACTGCTTCTAGCATGGCAGACAGGTGTCTGAAAACGTAACCCAAGTCGACTATTATACCAACACTACACAGGTCAAGGAGGAGCTTCTGAGAAGAGAAGGCGAAGCGGCCAGGGCAAGAAAGGCTCTTGCCAACCCGGAGGACGAGGACGAGGATGACGAGGACGATAATGTCCAGGGTAAGAGATGTCATTTTTTGTAGATAGACATCGTCATTGCTCATGGGTAAGAAATGTTTGTAGATTGACATCATATGCTGCTAAAGCGGTCTGCGGCCGTAGTGTGCGGAAGGTCGTGCGTTTGTTGGTGAACGGGTTGCGTCAGTGACCGTGTCCGGGTCGAAGGTTGTGTGGCCTTTTTTTCTTCAAGTGGTCAGTTCCTGTAACCAAACTGTGGTTTCACAAGGTTCGTGATGGTTGAGGGATTAATTGAGTGTTTGTGAGTACTGTTACTTGTTTTTTCCGTGTGTTGGTAGTTTGTGTTTTTGACTGACAACCGTTGTTCCGTGTTAAAGCACTTGAAAATGCAACCTTTTCATGTTTTGGGCAACGATACAGGGCGGGCTACGTATGTGTAAAAGCACCCGCTCTTGGGGATAGCGGTAGAGTGGCTAGATATCCACCTCGATCAACGAAAAACCTGAACAACATTTTCTTGAGCACGAGAAGATTTACTTCTAGAGTACTCTTTTTGGTGCCAGGCTCCTAATATCGTTTTTGCACGGGGCGGTGTCCTCTCTGTCCCCTCGCGTGCAATGCCTGGGTTTGTTGTACATGTATGATGATGTGATGAAAACGTCCGTTGTGTTTCGCGAAATCACATGTGGCAGAGTGCTCCTGTGCTCTACGGTGTTGTGTGGTGTGCTCAAAAATTGGCTAGGAGTAGATATTTTTTTTTCACGTTTTCTCCGTGGCGTGATTGTTGTGGATGCTTCTGTTAGCCGGCGTGTGTGATCTATCACGTGTGCCTGTGTGGGTGTCGGCATGTATACATGTCAGAGGTGACGTCTGAGAGCATCCAGAAGAGCTTTGAGGAGCTGGTAATGAAGAAATACATCGACAAGGTGCCCAAGCTCGACCTCGTCACACCTACCGTCGAGCCGGAGAAGGCAAAGTGAGTTATCATGCCACACAAGACGAGACATCCACCAACTTGTCGTCTCTGTTGTTGTTGATGGACGTGCAACTTCGAAATCTTAATCTTCCTAGGATATCGTGTGTTGCACTTGAGTGGACGATTCGCACGTCGACGATCCTGCCCGGCTAGGCTGCTAACCCGCTTGGTAGAATCCGTAAATCTCGTAGATCCTGTAGATGCAAGAAGCTAGCCCTCTTGGTAGAAATCAGTAATCTCGTAGATCCCGTAGATGCAAGAAGCTAATCCTCTTGGTAGAAATCATAAATCTCGTAGATCTCGTAGATGCAAGAAGAATGATACCAAACATCAACAGCTTCGCGGCGTGTGGAGGGCGTTGGTGTTGGCATAGACTACACTTTCCGACGTACGTACGAGGCCTTCAAGTTTATAATGATTTGATTCAAGCAATTTCGGACTTGACGAGTTGATGGCCGTGCTATCGTACGCCTGAACGTTTCCCTCGCCAAATTTCCCCTCACACCCACCCAAGGAAACACCAATACGTAAATATAGCCATACGTGTAGTGCACAGAAACTTCCAGAAATACGCAAGTGGAGCTTGTGCGCTGAAGCCACCGCTGTCGATCTGACTCTACTACAGTACTGCTGTACTAAATGAGTTGCCATTTTGCGGCCTCTTCGTGAGACCTTTGCCACAGAGGCGCGCCGTGTGATTGAAGTATACTGTAGCCGGATAGAGCATGTGTAAGGTCGTGCCGTATTTGCTTCTGTTGGCATATCTAGAAAGCCGTCGATGACGTTCGGTGCACCAACCAGCTGTGAGATACACCGTCGCCGTCCAGAGAACATGTTTGAGGCCATGCCGTGTTTGCTATTATTTTCATCTCTAGAAAGCCGTCGATGACGTTCGGAGCACCAGCCGACAATGACAGCAAGGGCAAGTCGGCGTCGGCAGCCAATGGGCAGAACGGAAGGAACAAGGAGCTGGCTGAGCGGCAGCAAAAGGGTGCTGCGCAGAGGTCGGCAAGGAAGCGCAGGATGCTCGGGGTATGTGTGTTACACCGAAGGATGTGACATGATGTCCCGTCGTCTTACAAATTGGGTCATGCGGGGGGAGAGTTAGGGGTGCCCAACATTGAACCCAACAGTATCCCCCCAACGGCACCCCTCTCTTTGCTGACAACGCTAGGGGGAGTGACACTGCGCAGAGTACCGTAAGAGTCGGAGGGAGAGATGGCACCCCCCCTGGACCAAAGTTCAACGCTCGATTGCTCCACAAGCAAGATTGTCTGTACCGTACCGTACACCGTACCGTGGTATTCCGTAGGAGGCGGAGAGATGGCACCATCCCCTCCTAGACCGATGTTCAACGCTCGACTTCTCCACAAACATGCTTGAGCTAACACCAATAGTCCAATACTAGCAGTATTGGAAACATGTCGTCGAGGGCTTTCCGTAGACGTATCGGGATCTTTCCCCACCCACTTGTTGGTGAAGCAATCGACCTGTGAAAGTCGGTCTAGGAAGGGGTGCCATCTCTCCGCCTCTTACGGAATACCACGGTACGGTATTCGGTACGGTACAGACAATCTTGCTTGTGGAGCAATCGATCGTTGAACATTGGTCTAGGAGCGGGGTGCCATCTCTCTCTCCGCCTCTTGTGGTAGGTAGAGACAACCGCAAAGTGTGTTCGACAACAACACCACCGCCGCCGAAACAAATCGCTTTAGTCTCAGGAGGGTAGCGTGCGGTGCTGATATTCGGTGCGGCCTCGTCGCACGCAAGACGAACGGTCTTGAAGAGCTCAAAACACTTCTTGAGCGTCAAAACAACAAAGGCCACCGCACCGACAAGAAATTTGTTTTTTTCGGCGATGCGGTGGTGTTTTTTGAAATTTAAGACATGTTGTGAGATCTTGCAAGGCATCCCGTCCATGTCCCATGCGATAGGGAGAACTTTGATATCAGCACCTCCAATCGCTATCACTCTAGCACGTGGAGTGTGGAAAGTGAAGAGGGAAAACAATGTGCGTGTGCGGACCTCCGAGCCTTGAGCGGTAGCATTGGCGAAATCGTCGAGCACGCTGCTGTTGTCTACGCTGTGCGCTGTGCGCTCTCCGTCTGTATGATATGAGGATATGGCCGACGCACGAGATGGGGATTTTTTCACTTCAATGTTGTGGCATTATTTTTTCACCCTCATTTCACTTCCTCTTTCGAACGGATGTCCCCTTCATTTGGGTAGTGTAATAGGCCGGTCGCCCCGTTGGTCTAATGGTATCCTCGACAACCGCTGGCCGCAAAGGTCGTGAGTTCGAATCCCCATGAGGTGAATTATTTTACAACTTTGCGGTTGAAAGAAAGCGAACAATGCTGAAAAGCTTTCGTGAGTACCAAACTTGGACGTTAGCACCGTCAACGAGAGAAAGGGACGGCTGGATTGGACCCTTCTCGAATAAAAAGGAAACGCCAGCAATCGCAGGAGGAAGGTGGGGCACGAAAATATACATAAAAGGAAAAAAACGCCGGTATTTGCCCCCTCCTGTGTGACCCTGGATGGTTGTAGTTGTACCAAAAAAAGCGCTGATAAGTGTAGTACACGTCTCACCACGAAAAATGGGAGGGCTTTCGCCGAAGTAAATAGGACGAAGACACAACAATATATTGCGCCTCCTTTCTTCGCACGGATGTCCCCTTCTATTGGGTACTGTAACAGTTGACCTGTGACCTCGAAAGGNTCTCCGCCTCTTGTGGTAGGTAGAGACAACCGCAAAGTGTGTTCGACAACAACACCACCGCCGCCGAAACAAATCGCTTTAGTCTCAGGAGGGTAGCGTGCGGTGCTGATATTCGGTGCGGCCTCGTCGCACGCAAGACGAACGGTCTTGAAGAGCTCAAAACACTTCTTGAGCGTCAAAACAACAAAGGCCACCGCACCGACAAGAAATTTGTTTTTTTCGGCGATGCGGTGGTGTTTTTTGAAATTTAAGACATGTTGTGAGATCTTGCAAGGCATCCCGTCCATGTCCCATGCGATAGGGAGAACTTTGATATCAGCACCTCCAATCGCTATCACTCTAGCACGTGGAGTGTGGAAAGTGAAGAGGGAAAACAATGTGCGTGTGCGGACCTCCGAGCCTTGAGCGGTAGCATTGGCGAAATCGTCGAGCACGCTGCTGTTGTCTACGCTGTGCGCTGTGCGCTCTCCGTCTGTATGATATGAGGATATGGCCGACGCACGAGATGGGGATTTTTTCACTTCAATGTTGTGGCATTATTTTTTCACCCTCATTTCACTTCCTCTTTCGAACGGATGTCCCCTTCATTTGGGTAGTGTAATAGGCCGGTCGCCCCGTTGGTCTAATGGTATCCTCGACAACCGCTGGCCGCAAAGGTCGTGAGTTCGAATCCCCATGAGGTGAATTATTTTACAACTTTGCGGTTGAAAGAAAGCGAACAATGCTGAAAAGCTTTCGTGAGTACCAAACTTGGACGTTAGCACCGTCAACGAGAGAAAGGGACGGCTGGATTGGACCCTTCTCGAATAAAAAGGAAACGCCAGCAATCGCAGGAGGAAGGTGGGGCACGAAAATATACATAAAAGGAAAAAAACGCCGGTATTTGCCCCCTCCTGTGTGACCCTGGATGGTTGTAGTTGTACCAAAAAAAGCGCTGATAAGTGTAGTACACGTCTCACCACGAAAAATGGGAGGGCTTTCGCCGAAGTAAATAGGACGAAGACACAACAATATATTGCGCCTCCTTTCTTCGCACGGATGTCCCCTTCTATTGGGTACTGTAACAGTTGACCTGTGACCTCGAAAGGCGTCCGCTTCAGTCCGGCAGGCACGGCTATTAGCAGGCACGGCTATTAGCAGGTACTGGCACAGAGCAGACACCGGAACGGTTTCGAAAGTGTGAAGACAAGAACATCATTCACCTCGGCGTTTGATATATATCCCCATCTACACCTTCCGAACTTGGTACCCCATCCGCTCTCGTCTTTATTGATCTTATTTTTTTGCTTACCGTGTTTCCTGCCACACGGTGACGGTGGCGGTGCAGCAAGACTCCAACAGCAACGGAGTGGACGGAGGTAACGGAGATGACGACGATTCCGACGACGACGACGAGCTCCCGGTAGAGATGCGGAGCCTGGTGAGCAGCATGGAGGAAGGCTTCGACGGCGGGGGCGCCACCGACGGGCGACCGCCCCCGGCCAAGAGGAAGAAAACCGCCGCTAGCGGGAGGGGGGGGGGCACCGCAGGCAGGACTAGGGGGAGGGGGAGGAGCCGGGGGAGGGGGGGTAAACGCGGAGAGACTGTTTCTGGCAAGGGTAAGGGGAGGTTGGACATGGATGGCGTGTTCGAAGAGGAAGGGGAGGGGGGGCACGCGGATGAGGAGGACGTGCTGGGCAGGAGGGGGTTAGGGGTAGGCGCCGGGGCGACGGTTCTGGACAGCGTGTTGTGGAAGCTTGGGTTTGACAAGGTGGGTGGGAGTGCTGTGTGGCTTTGTGATGATAAGCGTGGACAGACGCGGCTGGTGTGGAGGGGAGATGGCGATGGGATGTGGAGGGTACGGGGGATGGAGCTCACCGAACGATGCCGAGCCGATACGTGTGCGGGTGTTTGCATATGCCTGCGGTACGCTCTTAATTTCAAGGTTGGAAGATATTGGAAGATTGGCGTTGAATTTCATTTAGGGAGGGGAAGTCTAGGTGGGGTCGGGACATGCCAAGGGTCAAACGGCGAAGCCGGTTAAAGCGCAGTACTGGTATGGTTGTTAACGCTTGCGCCGCCGGTGGTACGCACGCGACGCGGCCTCCTCGACTGCTGTTACACCGTCTGATTTTGTGTGTGAAGCATCGTTCCGAACCTTAACGCATAGTAGATACAGGCCGTCATCGTGATCCCCTCCCCATGTAGCGCGAGACAATGTTAATGTTTCTACATATCTGGGACGATGTTGCTGGTACTGGAGTCTGGAGCTGCCGTGCTCTTTTCACGAGGAAGTTCCGCTTTGTGCTCGTGAGCGGTTTTTCGCCGATGCCTGGAAGAACGATCCGATACGACACATCCATCATGACGTGAATCTAGCACCCGATTGCTGTGGCTTGCTTCCTTCTTCACCTCCCCCGTCGCCTTCCCTGCTCTTGAGTACCCCTGCACCCGTACACACCTCAACGACCTCAACAGTTCCATCGAGATTTCCGCAACCTGGCGTTGCTGGGGCTAGTCCAGGATAGGTTCCCCAAGAGCAAGCTGGCGTACCTGGTAGTGAAGGTGATGCTGGATAACTCTGCCCCTACGGAGAGACAGGTCGACGAGCAAGTGTCCGCGTCCATCAGGTGCGGGAGAAGAAGTCGAATACACCCGAAGAATATTCGTAGAATAATATTCCGAAGAGTATTCGTAGAATAATATTCGTAGAATATTCTATGGTAATTCTTCTGTCAGTGAGGAAAACAAGTCAAATGCACCAAATGACATGCGTAGAAAAACATGTTGGTTTTTGAGGAGATAAGACCGGTTTTTATGGCTTCACAATGTTGCAAGAAAAGCTTCAAACTTTTCCTGCAACTTTTGTTCCAAACTTTGTCAATGGAACTTGTGATGCACGCTCTTTATGGGGCGAAGAAAGTTTTGCGCACGGGACTGGCGGAATGCGGAGGCCGCCTTTCAAATTGCACCGCGAAAGAACCGGTCAGAGCGTATGGGAGAGGGTAGTTGCAACCTTTTTTACTCCACACTCACGATACCCCAAGGCATCTAACCTGGTACCAGAAACATGCTTGGTAGAGCCAGCTCCCTCGGGGTGGCATTGCTGTTGCTGTTGCCTTCTCCTTCGAAATGTCATCGCTGAAAATCCAAACCATGCGCACACAGTCCCTGCGACCTTGACCCAACCGCTCTCTGACGTGGTTTGCGGGTCGATCACAACTTTTTTCCCGATGCGCACGGTACCCCACGGCACCACACCTTGGGCATGAAAGATGGAGCAGAGAGCTACCTCCCACCGAGCGGCCTTGCTATTGCTGTTGCTTCCTCCTTCGGAAAGTTATCGGTGGATAGTGGAAAACCAAACCCGCGGCGGTCGAAAACACATCGAGCTTGAACTAACCGCTCGCGGCCGTTGACGGTTGTGCACAGCACAAACTATTTTTCCCGGCGCATTCGGCACCTCACGGCCCCAAACCTTTGCATTGCCCAACAGCCCATGGCATCACCTCCTTCCAGATACCATTCATGAGGCAACTCGTTAAGTATTCGTCGAGATATCGGTGATCACAGCCTTCCCACAATCGATGATGGAGAGGATTTACATGTGCGGCAGGGGTAGCAGCTTGACGTGAACCGGTATAGTTTCGGCCGTGCAGCTTTTCTCGCCCCTTCCCGAGTCGAGAAAAGCTGTAGAACTTTTCGGCCAGATTGCAGCTTTTCGCTCCGGAAAAAACGTTGCAAGACTTCGTGCAACTTCTAGCTCCCATACTGAGCGTACATTAGCAAAGCTGCAATAAAAGTTGCAGAAATGCGGCTTTTTTTGCAACATTGTGGAGCCATTAAAAGCGGTTTAAAGTCAAACGTACCGAATGTCATGGGTAGACTAATCTGGCACTCTGCCACTGACCGTCTCATCTGTACCCTCTCATGATCGTGATCTAGTCTGGTCTATGCGATATCTGAATCTGAGTCTACATCCGGTACCATGATCTCTTTGTTCGGCAACCTCTGATCGATTCCAACCTAACCCCTGCACCTGAATCTGACTCTTGTGCCATAGATCTACCAGCGCCAGAGAACAGCTCGGTATGCTCTGATCTATTCCAGGTTGAACCTGAATATGAATCTGCATGTGGTGCCGTGGATCTCTCAGGGCCAGGGACCTGTTCGACTAGCTTTGACCTACATTGATCTAAGATCTTAATCTGATTCTTGTGCCATGGATCTCTCAGCGCCAGGGATCTGTTCGACAAGCTCTGCGAGGCCTGGCAAACGAGTAACCTCACGAAGAAAAAAGCGGTGCCGGACTGGCGGAGGTTCGTCTCCTGGATGTCAGCTCTTTGCACCGACCTTACCTCCATGGTGTCTAAGGTGAGTTGTACAGAAGGACACTCGCCCTTGGGCAAAGTAGCGGTGCTTGCTTGCCACAGCTCGGTACTTGATCGCTAGCGCCAATCGTGCGCTATTTTAGATGATTCGCCGATTTGACCGCAGAATCTATCGTGCTGCCACTGCGTATACTACTACACTCCGGACGGTGCGTCCATGAACGACGAAGTTATTGCATTCGCTTCACGCCTACCATGGTACATTGTACCCAACCTGTGGTATGTTTGGCCGCACCGTCGTTCTACCTGACGGTTTCAACTTTCATTCTTTTCCGCAGATACCGGGATCGGATACGCAGAACCCTCGGTATGTGGTAAACATGGCCAAGATGGTGCAATACATCCGGAGTAACCTGGTGAAGTGCACCGCCAGGGACCGTTACGGCAAGGAGACCGCCAGGATCATGGAGGTGAGAAGAAAGATACATTACCCTCGCTGTTCGGCTGCTGCACGTTTATATTGTGCTGCGCCTTTGCGTGTGTTTTTTCGTGTAGATGCCAAGAGGACTGTTGTATGTATATCCCTCGTCTATCTAGGCAGTTCTTGCTCTACCGCTCTGTCGTCGGCAAGGAGATGCATAGATCACCCCATCTTGTCCGTGCTCGCCGAAAGCTTTTGGCGGTACCTTGTCACGTGCTACGCTTGGGTGCTGTCCACGTACTCGTGTACATGTCCAGTGGACTGCCACTCAGTTGGTATTTTGAAGGTACAATTCGATGTATGTATAACATTTCTCGAGGGCAATCTGGGCTGTGCTTTTGTTGAAGATGTGCTTGTAGGAGCAGCAGCCCGACACCCGTGTCTCTTCTCACCATGTGCTCCTCGTGATGCGAAGAAAAATTGTACTGATGTACCTCATGTTGGCCTCGGACGGTGCTTCTTGCTCTACTGCTGTACCTCTGTTGAGGAGGTGGTGCTCTTGCTGGTTTGGTCTTAGCTTCAGACTTGTCGCAGTTTGGGTCAACTTTGACGGTGCTTGCTTGAACCACGCACTCCTGTGCATGATGTAGACCCGTCACTATCGTTTGTGCTGCTACCGCCGGCCTTTTGCCGTTGGTCGCTTTGAGCTGAGCACCGGCATGTGCATCCTATGCTTGGTTGCCTCGAAGATGTATGGATTAAAGACAAAGGGTTGTGGTTATCAAGTAAAAACCTAAGTCGATCTGGATGTCCTAGGTGCTGCCCCAGATTGGCAAGCACCTGTCACTTTGCTAAGCTAGCTGAGAAAGATGCATACACCACGCCTTGCTGACTCCTTGATTACTAAATTATTGTTGGGTTAACTCGCTTTCTGTTCCCTCTCGTGCACTGCTCCGAAACAACAATCCCGGTCTTGCCCAGATTCTCCTCCAAAACAAGTACCTGGACCAGCAGCAAGTGGGCGAGATGGCGATGATACCCCCCAGCGATGCGAGGGAGAGACTGTACCGACTACTGAGAGACAGGTGCGAAGGATCCCCCCTGCCCTTAATGTGTACTACGCGGGATAACCCGCGTGAAGCTTGCAGTATGTGTTCTCTAGGATGAAAGGCTGACTACCGTAAGTCGTGTGCTGGAACGCGCGCATGAACATTACAAGGTCAAGGCTAACTGCCCCACCAGGAAAAGAGAGGATTTCGAAAATTAACGACCGGCAAGTGCAAGGAAGGCCAGCCTCTCTAGCGTATCATACCAGGCATTGGTAAGTACCGTAAGGTTGCGGGTGAGCGCACCCCCGTGCGGTCGTTTTTTAAACACATTCGCCATTTGATATTCGTCGCACAGGGGTGGGATGGCTCCGGACCGTGCGATGACTCCATACCCTGTGCGGGAATTGAATTCAATTATTTGGTTTCGATACATGACACACACCCCTGTGCGATGACTCCACTTTGTGCTGTTCTGAGTAAACCCTGTAGGCGATATTTTCAAGAATGTTCAACGCACACCCCTGTGCGATAACTCCGGTATGTGCGGTACTTGAAAGATGCTTCCTCTGTCACATAAGTAAAGTCCGTTATGGGGGAATTCACATACCTCAACAGCCAAGGTGTTCCTGAAGCTCTAGTTAGGTGTTGGAAAGCGCTTGTTACGCACATAACTTAACAAAAAAAATCCGACTCACAATTACTGAGAATTAGTGTGTCAAATACGGGACTATTTTGCGAATATTTTGGGAATATTTTGAAAACATTCTGAGAATATTTTAAAGAATATTTGCAGCTTTGTGCTGTGTGAGCACCCACTACCACCACAACGACGTAGCTATCATGGGGGACGCCCAGACACCCCCACATCGTAAGCGGGGTGCGGAATTATCGTTGGGTCGTCGGTACGCCATGGCGGTGGAGATGGCGTTGGCGATTCCGCCGGGCAAGAAAGGGTACCCAAGGGCTTTCTAGGCCCCCAAGTGTCTTGGTTTTAGTGTGGGCCTCGAAAACGTCTTGATTTTAGTGTGGGTTCACTACTATGTTGGTTTTTGTATGGGAGGACGCCAAATGGATTGTTCAGTAGAGGTAACCTTGGGTTTAGGGTTCGGGATAATTCTTGTCTTTTTTTGGTATGTTTCGTTTCGTGCCCCCACCCCCACCCTCATGGAAAGGGGCAAAAAACGGCCTTTTTTGGCCTG